ACGTCACGGGAATTAAGAAATGGGAGTTCACTTTCGCCGAGAAGAAAATTCGATAGAAACGTGCAAATATCCAAACGTCGTTTATTAAATTTTTCATTCATTGGTAAAATTTATCCTTCTTTATTATTCTTTATCTCGTAAGTACGGGGTTTGGTCGAGAAGTAACTCTTAACTTTTACATGAATATACGATCGAAAGTGAGAATAGAGTTCTCGAGGAGTTCTCTTATCTATGTTTGTTTGGGAGGATAGATTTGTCCCAACTTTTTCTGCAAACTTTCGTCGTCGAGAGGCTGAGGAAATTTTTCGAGAGCTTCGCGAAAGTGCTTTAACCTGTCTCTGGGCGGGTAAAAAATCAATCACGTTTGCGGTAAAATTTTTATTCGGATATGATGATAGTGAGAAATAAATAAAAAAAAAAAAAGATTGATAATATTTAAACAATAATTTTTCTTCGAATAAAGATACGAGCAGCAATTAATTCGTATTCTATTGATAATTTATTATTAAATATCGTCGATTTCGTAAACAATGACGATCGATGCTAAATCAATAACGATAGAGTTATTCGTGTTCGATTGACGGCGAGCAATGCTTCTCTTAATATAATATATAAATACGTAGCGAAATAAATTGTTCGTGAGTCTGCGATAATTGGATTCGTCCGTTCGAGCTTAACAGACCTCTTAGCCTGCAGGCTTTCGTGCGTGTGCACTCCTCTCTTGTGCGCGAAAGGATTAAAAATAAAAATTAAAAATTTAGAAACGAGGAGGGGACTTAATTTTTGCTGCTTTTTTTATTGAAATTATTATTATTATTATTATTATTATTATTATCGGAATACAAATTCGTCCGTTCAAAAATAAGGAAATTGCGAAGAATCGATAAATTGTGAAATTTTAAAAGTATAACCGGATTTCATAAATGGCGTCTCATGAATCACCTTGCTTGATCGAGGCGTCAATTTGAAAGAGAAAACCGAGCTATCCTTTTCGTACGATTTTCGTACAAATCGTTCGAAAGGAAGGGATTGAAACCAAATGCTCCGGGTTGAATTTTGCACACGATCAGAATTGAAAGGAAATAAAATTACAACGCGTGTGATCCTTCTCCTTTTCGATTTTCACCGTCGAACCGTCGAATGAATTAAAAATCGTACGAGATCGAATTATCGAAATTAATCTTAGCCACGTGTCGCGGTTAATGCGTTTGCAATTCCAGAGAATTGGTTTCGATGCACGTTTCGTATCCACAGGTGATTTGGCTCATTGATCGGGAACGGTGGCTCGCGTGACTGTCCATCCATATTACTCCTTCCTCCAGATGAATGATAATTTCAAGGACATATTCGAAACTGTTAATCATTTTCACTCCAAATCATTCTCAAACCATTGACTATATCGTTTTTACATCAAACGTAGATCGAACGATCAAAATTTTGATTTCACGTTTAATAATAATTGAACACGTGCGATCGAAGAGATCAACAGATAGCAAAACTCCTTCTTACCCTGAGACGAATGGTAATTTCAAAGACATGTTCGAAATAATAATCACCTCCTTTCTCAAACCATTGATATATCGTTTTTACATCGGATGTAGATCAAAATTTTGATTTTAATAATAATTGAACACGTGCGATTGAAGAGATATATGTACATGTACAAAGATTTTTAATCAATTTGTTAAGGATGATGAGAGTAATGATTGGAATAACGAAGTTAAAGAAGGTTTAAAGTTTCGATAATTTGAAAGTTCGAAGAAGAATTGGAAGATTCGGGAGTGGAAGAGAATTATAACTAGCTGGAAGAAGAAAATCTTTACTCGGATGATGCGAGGAGTTGGAAGAAAAAGGAAAAGGAATTTAAGATTATTCTTAATTGATGAAAAAACTGTGCGAGGGGCGGAAAAGGAAGAGAGAAAATTGCATAAAACTTGGTGAACGCGATCGGTAATTGCGCGAATTCGCGTGATTGGTAAATTATTACGATGACCGAACTATAAGTTAAAAGAAAAAATATATATATATAGCCGATATTAAATTTTTTTTTTCGAGCTCACGTTTCATTTGCACGGTAATCATTTTAAAATTCCAACCCATTTAAAATTCCTCGTCTTGTTAATATTTATATCTGGGAAACAGTGTTGCGTTTAAAACGAATATCCGCTTTTCATTCGGATAAATTGCATTGAAAAATTAAATAACACCGATCAAACGCATAAATGGATAACGGGGAATTGTTGGAATCGAATAAAATCCATTATGGGGCGTTAAAATTTATTACTTTACATTAACCATGTTTCGATCAAACGATAATTACTACGCGATAGAAATAATTCGTGAATTTCGATTCGAGAGAAATCAAGGAGAGGAATTTTCTTAAATTTTGGATTGAAAATAAGATTCTCGTGCGAGAAAACGGCAAAGAGAGAGGAAAGAATATCCCAATATCGTTGGGGAAGAGGATGTTTCGCCCATGTTTCGAATAGTTGAAAGTTTCTTTTCCGGGAGTTGTGTTCGTTCGTCATGAAACACAAGCGTTAGAATTGCATCAGACAGCGAACTAAATGGATTAATTCATCGCGATGCGCGACCGCCATTCAGAGAATTCTCCGTCCATTGTTCCAGACGTTTGTCAAACATAGTTTCTCGATCGAATAACGTTACGTTATCGTCTCCCTTTGTCCAACGTCGTGAAAAATAATCAAATTCTTTCCACAATTTCACGAGATCTTGTCGATTATTTATTTATATCGCGATTTTTCGCGAACTCGATCTTGGAAGAATATTTTTTCGGAAAATTTTAATCAGAAAACTTGCACTTGATTTCGAAAGTCGATGCGTGGATGGAATTTACGTAGGGCCAGATTTTGGAGATTTTCGAAAATATTGGAAATTTTTCTCGAAAGGAATAATCGGGAAAAAAGGATAACAAAATCAATTCGTCACGTACTTTCATTTCGCATTTTCGACTAAACTCGTTTCTCGACGTTGTTCAAATTCTTTTGTTCTTCTCCATGCAAACAATGTATATACAATTTGCACAACTTCATACGCACGTCCCATTCTTTCGCAAAAATTTACAATTTTCAAACGAATCAATCGATATTTTCGAAGTGTTGAAATAAAACGAAGAGCGAAAGAGTCCTCGACACATCCTTGTTAAGTTAAATAACGTGTACAATTAAAAATTGAAATCCCTGCAGCGGAGCCGCAGCGACTTCGAAATCCCCGCACGATTTTTCCGCACCGTTCCAAACGTAGACAAAACGTGCTACGAAAAAAAAAAAAAGAAAAAAAAACGAGACCAAAGTTCCCGAAAATGGGCGGAGAGCGGACGGTTTCCGTCGACAAAGAGGAAGAGGGAGGAGCGTTGAAATAAATTCCAAAGTGAACCTTTCATTTTCGCGGAAAAATCTCGAGAAAATCGGAGATTCGGACTTTGAAGGGCGGACAATAGACGCAGAAGGAGGAGAATGGAGAAGTGGAAGCGAGATGGAAACCGGAAACCCTGTACAGAATTTCCGATTGAATTGGTCCCGTGACAAAGGCCCTATTCACCGGCACGATCAACGCGTGCCTCGTTCGTGCCGCTTTTCATTCTTCTTTCACGAATATATTCCACCGCTTCCCTTCTCTTTCGTCCAACCTCGCCTTCAATTTTTCACACACGCCGGGGGGATAAAGCCGTAAATGACGTATCGGTGTTTCCAGCAACCGTGTCACGCTTGGTATCCGCGTCCAGATCGTAATACGTCGTTGATGCATAACGTTCTCGTCCATACATACAAGATTTCGAGCGTGCCAGAGAGAGAATTTGCTCTTATTATTTTTTTGGAGAAATATTATATTATTACAGAATATTTCGATAGGATTTAGAAAAAAAAAAAATAGAGAGAAACGTTACAATTTCCTTTACGTGGATTCTCATTGCTATTTTATGGGTAGAAGATCGTTGCTCGTCGTGAACTATGAAGTTTTCAGTATAACAAATTTTCACGATTTTGAAAGATCAATAAGCTTTAAGGTTGAAATATCTTACGTTTAATTATTTTTAATTTATTCGAGCGTTACGAATTATTCCATCGTTCCTCCCCTGTCAAATGACAAAATTAGATTGGATTAGTTTATCACCTAGCGCGTGCATTTCACCAGGAACAAATATCAAAAGAATCAATCTCATTGAACACTCTCGTCGATGCCTCCAAATTAATCCTCGCCAGCGTTGCAAACGATGACGCGATTCATCTCGTTTCGATTCGGTTTCGAGCGCGTTGCGTTCGAGGGAACCATTTCGATCCACGGGAAAAGAGAAGAAAAGCGTATCGATTAACGTAATTTATAAATTGATCGTGAATGCGCCGATCGTTGAATTGGAAATAAACGGACGAGATTAGACGCGCGAAACGGGATTCAATCGGTCGATCATATCACTCTGCCACTTTCGTTCCGTTCCTGTTTCTATTTATCATCCGTCGTTTGATCGAATTGATCATTGGTCAGAACACTGACAAAGGATGTTTGTTATACGACGCCAAAGTTTGTCGTTTGATCGCTTATTTGTTATTTTTCTCCTTGCTTTTCGTGGAAATTTAAAATCGAAGAATCAATGTTAAGTTGAAATAGTATACGAAGAACGCGTATGTTCTCATTGTAGATAAAAATTTTTCAGGAATTTTTAAGGGTTAAATCCTTGTAATTCCGTTTGGAATGATTTTTCGTATCATTGATGGATAAAATGTTTTTCGTTCGAAATCGATATTTTTGAAAAGAATAAGTATATATATATATATATTTTTAATATAAGGATTATTAACAGAATTGATGATCAAAATTTTGTAATAAAAAAAAAAAAAATTTAAGATCACAGCTTGAAACGAAGGCAGAGAAAAATAAGATAAATTTAAAATGAAAGTCAAGAAAATCGATGCATTTAAGGATAGAAATAGCGATGAGATCTCTCTCGTTCGATGTTTTTGGGGTCACAAGTCGAAAGACCATCGAAAGAATATCCTCTTATATTTCGTACAACCATCATAAACGCATCGTACATCTTCGAATCTCGTTCGTTTCGTCCTTCAACTCTTTCGTGCTATTACAATAAAAATTTACAATAAAATTCACGCATTCGATCTTCCCTTGTTCGAAACGAAATCATAAGAAAGAAACGTTCATCCGTGATAAGTATTACGCTTAGCACGCTCGGTTAAAAAGTTAGCCGCGAGTGTAACAATGCGTCGAAAACAGGATTGAAAACAAATAAACGTACACGCGACATCAACAATTTTCGAGATACTCGTTTAACGCATTCGATGCGCCGCCAAAAATCAGGGGCGAATATTCGAGTGTAAAAACAATAATTGTGAAAAAAAGCAACGAGGGAACAAAAGGAAAGCCAGAAAACTCTTTTTTATCCTTCATTTCTCGCAAAACTTTATACCGCATTCTTGCCACAGGATAGAACATTCTTTGTGACGTTCGCGCTATCCGCCACATAAAAATATTTTTCGTGATGCGCACTCTTCCATCGTTTGCTACAGGATAGAACATTCTTTGTGACGCTTACGTTCGCGCTATCCGCCACATAAAAATATTTTTCGTGAAACTCTTACATCGTCTGCCACAGGATAGAACATTCTTTGTGACAGCTTGAAACGAAGGCAGAGAAAAATAAGATAAATTTAAAATGAAAGTCAAGAAAATCGATGCATTTAAGGATAGAAATAGCGATGAGATCTCTCTCGTTCGATGTTTTTGGGGTCACAAGTCGAAAGACCATCGAAAGAATATCCTCTTATATTTCGTACAACCATCATAAACGCATCGTACATCTTCGAATCTCGTTCGTTTCGTCCTTCAACTCTTTCGAGCTATTACAATAAAAATTTACAATAAAATTCACGCATTCGATCTTCCCTTGTTCGAAACGAAATCATAAGAAAGAAACGTTCATCCGTGATAAGTATTACGCTTAGCACGCTCGGTTAAAAAGTTAGCCGCGAGTGTAACAATGCGTCGAAAACAGGATTGAAAACAAATAAACGTACACGCGACATCAACAATTTTCGAGATACTCGTTTAACGCATTCGATGCGCCGCCAAAAATCAGGGGCGAATATTCGAGTGTAAAAACAATAATTGTGAAAAAAGCAACGAGGGAACAAAAGGAAAGCCAGAAAACTCTTTTTTATCCTTCATTTCTCGCAAAACTTTATACCGCATTCTTGCCACAGGATAGAACATTCTTTGTGACGTTCGCGCTATCCGCCACATAAAAATATTTTTCGTGAATGTCGCACTCTTCCATCGTTTGCTACAGGATAGAACATTCTTTGTGACGCTTACGTTCGCGCTATCCGCCACATAAAAATATTTTTCGTGACTCTTGCATCGTCTGCCACAGGATAGAACATTCTTTGTGACGAGTATGTTCATGTCATCCGTCACATAAAAAATATTTTTCGTGACTCTTGCATCGTCTGCCACAGGATAGAACATTCTTTGTGACGCTTACGTTCGCGCCATCCGCCATAAAAATATTTTTTCGTGACGCACACTCTTACATCGTCTGCCACAGGATAGAACATTCTTTGTGACTAGTACGCTCGCGCCATCCGCCACATAAAATACTTTTTGTGATGCGCACTCTTCCATCGTTTGCTACAGGATAGAACATTTTTTGTGACGCTTACGTTTGCGTTATCCGTTACATAAAATATTTTTTGTGATGCGTATCCTTACATTGTCTACCACAGGATAGAACATTCTTTGTGACGAGTATGTTCATGCCATCCGTCATAAAAATATTTTTCGTGACGCGCACTCTTACATCGTCTGCCACAGGATAGAACATTCTTTGTGACTAGTACGCTCGCGCCATCCGCCACATAAAATATTTTTGTGATGCGCACTCTTACATCGTTTGCTACAGGATAGAACATTCTTTGTGACGCTTACGTTCGCGTCATACGCTACATAAAATATTTTTTGTGATGCGTATCCTTACATTGTCTACTACAGGATAGAACATTCTTTGTGACGCTTACGTTCGCGCCATCCGTCACATAAAAATATTTTTCGTGATATTCATCTTCATATCAACTGTCACGGGATAGATCATTCTTTGTGATGCATACATTCGCATCACATAAAATATATTTTTTGTAACGCGCATTCTTACATCGTCTGCCACAGGATAGAACATTCTTTGTGACGCTTACGTTCGCCACATAAAAATATTTTTCGTGACCCTTGCATCGTCTGCCACAGGATAGAACATTCTTTGTGACGCTTACGTTCGCGCCATCCGCCACATAAAAATATTTTTCGCGGCGCGTAGATTTCACATGATCCAGCACAGGATAAAAGTAATTCTTTTTACGACACGTGTATTTTGCATATTCGGCATTGAATGTATTAAACGGAGCGTGATCTGAAGACGATTTAAACACAGACAAAATTATTACTTAGGCCCGTTTCCAAATTTATTGCTCGTGTCCGTCAATTATTTAATTAAATCGAGTTTTGTCGAGCGTCCCAACTTCTCGTCCCAACAATATTTTTTTTTCTTTTCTTTAAATATATATATATTATTAATTGGTCGTTTGAATTCGCGGGAATAATATTATTAATGCAAATAACAGCGTCTCGAACAATATTTTGAATTAATCCTTTTAGCAATCTTAAAATCGTAGATATATTCGCTAGATATAATTCTTTCATAAAACTAGTGTTTATATTATACTCTTATCTTACATCTATATTCCTGGATTTACGATCCTTCGCGTGGAATCACTGCGATCGAAAGGAACCTTTAATTTCATCTTTCTTTCTTTTTTTTTCCGTTTTAAATTAAATTCGTCCGAACGAGCGAATTGTAAATAAATTTTCTAAAAATTAATTTTTTAATCGAATCCTGCGGAACGTTTCTTACGCAATGATTCCCGGTGATTATGGTACCAACGAATTTCCGCGAGGCACACTTCTATCCTCGATTTGACGTGAAAAAATTTGTCCAACCGATTATATACAAAATTTTTCTGAATTTATTTTTCCAACTACTATATAATATTAAGAATTAATAAATGTCAACTGTATATTAATATAATAAATACTAGACTACATGTAACTTAGTTCAATTACTATAATATTTAAAAAAAAGTGATATTATTCGTTTTGAACGTAAGAGGAAGAAAAATTTGTTAGCAACAGTGTCAATGTCGAGGCACGATTCTCATTGTCTGTAATTTAACCAGCTAGTAATCGAACTAACTACGTCGTACATCGTTTTTAAAAAATTCTGCTTCTCGAAAAGTAGGCATTCGTCGGATAATAAAAAAATATCGGTAAAAATTGGGTATCGCGATAAAAAATATAGGGACTCTTCGAGTCACTCGTGTATCTTTTCGTTAGTTATCCGACAACTAGCGGTGACTCTGCTATTATCTTCTTCATTCTCTAACAATAAATAGATAATAATACTTCTCTTTTACGTGGTACCATCGTTTAAATATAGAAGGAACGAGTATTTGGTATTTTTTTTATTCGCAGTAATCGCTCGAATTTCATCGTTATTCTATATTCGTGTCGCAATTTGTTACTTTTTTTTTTTCACCTTTATTTTTGATTCATCTCGTGGATTAAAAAAAAGGCCTTTATATTTTTTGCTTTGAAACAAATCGATTCGATTTTCTTCGGTTTGATATATCGTAATATTCAAAATGGAAGAATCGATTCGACGAATTCGACCGATGAATCGAGCAACTCTGCAACTCTGTCTCTTCGATTACAAATAAATCTCGTTTAAAAATACTACGTTTACGTCAATTGCAACGTAATAAGAAATAAGGAAGCCATTTTTTACGGCGATCATGTTTGACTGAGGAAACTGTTGTTCTTCGTGATCAATCCCGCGCTGCTCTCCGACATTGGTATCACTGCCGATTTCTCCCCCTTTGGTAATTTTGGATGCGACTTTATGTTCGGTTTCAAACCTTTCAGAATATTCTGCAGAAAAATTGCATCGATCTTCAATGTACATCATGAATTGAAAATTTTATAGAACGAAGTTGAACCGACGTGTATTATACGTGACGACAAATTAATGAGACAAATAAAATTTCACCTCTTTTATGGATCCTGGAGTAACGACCACGTAGTAAACAGCGTAAACAGGAATCCAGATCATGGATGACAAACTGAGGCAAACGCCTATCACCTCCGCCCACGTCGGATATTCGTAATTGTTTCCATATTTCAAAGGCTTGTATTGGACGCATTGGAATATAAAGATGAACTGAAAAAAAAAGAAAAAAGAAATTTGTCCTTTCCTTTCTTTTTTTTTTTTTAATCTCTCGACGAGGGATTTTACGAGATGCGATACTCACAGCCATGATCACTGGTGCAAACACGACCCAGCAAATATACCAAAAGTAATTCAATCGTATACCCATCATCTGATGTATGCAATCGCAGAATTTTCTCCCTCCGAATATCCAAGATATCGCTATAGTTTGGAAAAAACATACCCAGAGGATGGACATTCCGCTGGCCGAGTAGAAATCCATTAATTGGAATATGTAAACGCCACCCTGAAACGATCGTTCCCTTAATTATTCGTTCGTCGAAATATGATGGTAATTTGGACACTAACGTTGGTCACCATGGGAAGACCGAGAAGGAACATGAGACAGCAAATGGCGATGGTGAACTTGTTTCTGTGGGGGCGTAAGAGGTCGGGCCAATTGTCGACAACACCGGTGATGAACGATTCCACGATACAGAATTCACTGTCGATCCCGAGTATCTGTCAATCGGAAGAAGGAAAGGCATAAAAAATAGATCGTCGTCGGATGACGAAAAGAAAGAAGAGAGGTTTAAGCGTTCTCACGAGCAGCATCACGAAGAATATGATTGCCCACATGGAGGCGCCAGGAAGCTTGAGCACCACCTCGGGATAAGTGAGAAACACGAGGCCTGGCCCGCTCTTAACCACCTCGGCCACTTCTGTTCCCTGTTCCAACGCGATGTGGCCCAGGATGGAGAATGTGACGCAGCCGGCCAGTAAACAGGTTAACGTGTTCACCACGCACGTGATCAATGCGTCTCTGAAACGAGAACGAAGGATAGTAGAACAGATAGCTAGCTCGTCCGTCTAAAAAAAAGTTAGAAAAGTTCTTTCGCCCAGAATTTTAAATCGCTATCAAGTAGAACGAGTCGATGTCTTCTCCGAAAGAATGGCGGAAAAGTTAAAATTTTAATCACAATTATTGTTATAAAATTATATTAGAACGAAAATTACGCTTTAATAAAGGGTTTGGATATATCGGAGTGAAAAAATAATCGAAGAGAAAATGGCGTCTCACTTGTAGCAGTTGTGATGGAACTTGTTGTAGGATCCGAGAGCGGGCAGAGCTCCAGTCCCGATGCTGTAGGCGAAGAAAATTTGCGTGGCACCGTCGATCCACGGGCCGGGCGACATTAATTCCTCCCACCTCGGTTTTACGTAGTACAGCAAGCCGTTGTAGCTGCCCTCCAACGTCACCGCTCTTCCCAAAAGAATAAAAAGCACCACGTAGGGGAACAAAGCTGAAAACCAAATAATTTTACCACTCTGGTGGAGACCACGCCGGATGATGAAATATACGA